CATTTCAAACTTTGGTATATAATTCAAACCAATTAATCTACGCAAAGCATCAAAATTCACATGTCCTAATCTACCATGCCATAAATTCAACTCAAGAATATAAGCAAAAGATGTGTTATTCTTATTCATAGCAACTTTTGGTACAACTGTCATTACATTTAATTTGAAAAGAGCATCACTCATGTATTCCTAACCAACATACATACCACTCTTTGATAATACATATTTGTTAGACTCAAACACAAGCCTAAAACCATTTTTACTTAACAAAGAGCCCGAAACCAAATTCTTCCGGATGTCAAGTACATGCAGTACGTTGTTGAGGGTCAGTTCTTTTCCTAATGTCATCTTCAATATCACTTTTCCCTGTCCAGCGACAGTAGAAGTAGAAGAATTTCCCATGAACAGTTGTTCACCATTTGTAGCCTCAATGTAAGTAGTGAACATCTTCTTGTCCGCACATATGTGACGAGTTGCTCCTATGTCAACCCACCACTCTTTGGGATTTCCAACCAAGTTAGCCTCAGACACCACAGTAGAGAGGTTGATGTCATTTACTCCGTCAGAGATGTAATCTAGTTCAGTTACATTAGCCTGATTGGTAGTCTTCTTGCTTGTACTTCCATGATCCTTCTTAGGGTGGCAGCAGTCAGAAGCTCGATGTCCAGTCTTGCCACAGTTGTAGCATTTTCATTTGAACTTCTCGTTGCTATCGCCGCGCGCATGCCAGGCTGCCCACGCCGCGCGCATGCCAGGCCGCCCACGCCGCACACATGCCAGGCCGCCTTGTTTAGGACCATCTCCAGTAAACTTCCTCTTTTTGTTATGTGATTTATGAACTTGTTTAACCACATTAGCCTTGGACTCAATGGGATTTTTCTCATTCCTTTTTTCAGCCTTATGGTTATTTTTCTCAATTCTCAATCTTACAATAAGTTCATCCATGGTCATTTCTTTGCGTTTATGTTTTAAATAATTTTTGAAATCTTTCCAAGCCGTTGGTAACTTTTTCACTAAAGCAGCGACTTGGAAAGACTCGCTCAGAGACATATCCTCATAATGAATATCATATAAAATTAATTGAAAACTTTGAACTTGAGAAATCATCGTTTGGGAGTCTACCATAACGAAGTCCAGAAGAAATTTACCGACAACAAATTTCTTCGTGCCGGCATCCTCTGTCTTGTACTTCTTCTCCAAAGAATCCCACAATTCTTTTGCTGACTTCAAAGGACTGTAAACATTATACAGCATGTTGTTAAGGCCATTGAGGATGTAGTTTCTGCACAGAAAATCTGAATGTTTCCAAGCATCTACAGCGGCAACAACTTACCGGTCACTTTCACCCTCTTTAAGTGTTGGAGCCTCTTCATGGAGAAACCAGGCCAAATTAAGAGTTGTAAGATAGAACAGCATCTTCTGCTGCCATCTTTTAAACTCAGTACCGTTAAATTTTTCCCATTTTTCTCCATGATTTATTGGTACTTGAACATGGTTCTGGATAGGGATCGGTGTTGGTATAACAATTGGAATACCACTTCCAGTTGCAATTTCAGTTGTAGTAGCCATAAAATCTGATCACAAAAATCAGAAAAACAAACCACAAATTAATTTTTTAGTTACTAAAACTAGAAAATAAATTATAACACAAAATAATTTTATTTTCCTTGTTACTAAAACTAGAAAAATAAAATACCACAATAATTTTCTGTAACACCAAATAATATTCTGCAATTGTTAATGACACCAGTATATTACTACTAATTGTCAAAAAAAATAGACAGTATATTGCTACTATCTGTCAAATAGTTTATAATACTATTTGTATTTTCCAACCAGAATATTAGTTTGAAAACACAGAAAATTAAATACAATGAAGACACTAAAAATAATCTGTCTTAAGATTGTTGGACAATCTTCACTATAATTAAATTAATTAATTATGTTTGTACTAAACGACAAACAGAATATAAAAGAAAAATAGGAAAGGAGAGAGAAAATTTGATTACAAAAATCAAATTAGAAATAAAATTAAATAAATAAAAACAGATTTTATTTTGTTACAAAAATAAAATTAAAATCTGATTTAAATAAATAATAAAATAGAAAATAAATAAATAACTTACCTGATTAATATCTTAAATATTATTCTGATCAAGTCTAGTGTTCGACACTGTCTCCTTAAGACAAATTTGTCCTCTCCACGATACTTTCAGAATATGGACGTCTATCTCCCATGATGAAATGATCAACTACAAATAAATGCAGCACTACAATTTATTTATTCAACGAACACACTAAGTGTTTATACCTTTCTCACAAAAATTAAATGCAGCAAAATGAAGAATAAATTTGCAGATGAGAACTACAAAATTTCTTAATGTAAAATATCAAATGAAGGCTGCCTATTTATAGATGTAGTGGTAGCTATTGATTTTGAATTAAACAGGTGTTAACCTGTTTTGAACATGTATGAAACCTGTTTGGTTTTGAATTAAACAGATTTAAATATGTTGGGTTCAAAATTAAGGGACCTGTTTGGGTGTAGAGAAAAACCGGAACAGATTAATTCCGGAATTAATTTGAATTCTAGACAGTTAAACAGATTTTATTTCAAAAAATAAAATTAAATCCAAATATTTCTAGCCCAAAAAGATTAGTATTGGGCCGAACAAACCCAACCCAACCACACACCCGCGCCCAACCGAACCGGCCGCGGCGCGCACTTGTGGTGATTTTTGGGTCCAATGGGTCAAGCTCATTTTGCCCATAACCTCCTCTCTAAAAAACTTGGATACCCTTTGAGGCACACTCCAAATTCCAATCCCATGCCTTACAAACCCATTCAAAACTTTCCACCAAATCAATGTGGGACAAGCCATTTTCTAACCTTAAGGAATTTCCACCAAAACTCCATTTCCATGGAGCTCACTTTGCCTTCAATTTCCCATTCACTCGATAATGGTTTTGAGCAACCAAATATAACACGTAAATCACAACGTGGCATAGAACGCGTTACCACTTTGACCCGCCAAATTTAACGCTCGGGTCCCACCTAAATAATAGACCAAAGTTAGGAAAACATTCTGGTTTTACCCAGAATTTTCCAACCATTTCCAACAGAAATTTCTTTGGATCGATGTTGAGAGACCTTAGATATTATGAAAATATTGAACGTCCTTTATGTTATAAAATCTTAATACCAGAGACTCTAAAAAAAAATTCCCTAGTGGTGAGATGTCACATGATAAATAAAAACTCATTACAATAACATAGTAATAATATATCAGATGATAAATAACATGTGATTACAATAATTTTTTATAATTATACAAAAATACCTAAAATGATATATAAAAAATATATATGATCCATATTCAATTTTTATATAGTAAAATTCACACTTAATCTCAACTATACATTAATTTTATAAACCAATCCATTACCCAAACTATCTATTATTTTTTTAAGTAATATTCACATTTTCAAACTCACCCAATCAATACTCTGACTGAGTTCATCATCATCCCTATTGTTGCCATGTTCACCATCTCCACTAACCACTATGCAACTCCGATATAGTTTTTTATCTTTACAAATTTAAAAAGACAATATTAGGGAAATAAAAAGGTACCGTTAGAGTTTGAAAAAGTTAAAAATAAAAAATATAAAAAATGTGTGGTTTTAATTATTCTTATTCCATATATGGGTGATAATTTTTTAAAAAATCCATAAATTATGGAACAGTGTTCATTATTTAAAATTTTATTTATTGAAGGGCAAGTCAATTAAATGTTTTTAATTTTTTACAAATAAAAAAATTTGGAAATTTTGTTTAAGAAATTTTTTTTAAAAAAAGGCCAAATCATAAAGAACAATATAAAATGTTGTATTCTATTAAAAAACTAATAACTGTATTATCAATTAACATATATCAAAAATAATAATAACAACAATATAAAAAATACACAAACATTCACCATAAAAATAAAAATAGAAGTTCAAATTAACTCCCAAAACAAAGATAGTTAAACATATATACATATATATATTATCAATTTAGTTGGGGAAAAAAAAAGGTCATATAGAGAAGAAGACAAAAAAAATACCCACACGAAAATAGAAATTTACAAAAATAAATAAATAAATAATACAAACAAACAAATTTGAAATAAGTTTGGAAGACAGAGACTAATCTTTGAATCATTACATTTGGAGAGAAATTGATTGGGCTAAAAAAAGATCAAATATTAGCTATTCTAAATAAAGAATTGTATTGAATTTTTAATGTGATTGGATTTTTAAAATTTTAGAATTTATATTATTTTTGAAAAAGATGAGAATGGCTTATCATATTATTTTGAATTTTGAAATTCAAAATCATAGATAATTAGTGTCTTTATTGTTTCTTTATTTGAATTGTTTTGATTAATATTATTTTTAAAAAGAGTAAGGGTGACTTATTATATTATTTTGAATTTTGAAATTCAAAATTATAGATAATTAGAGCCTTTATAGATAGATAGATAATAATAATTTTTTTTTTAAAAAAAAAACAACAATTATTTCTCTCATTTGTTATCTACCCAAAATTCCCCTCATACTTTTATGCTCCCTTTAAGAAAAATAAAATACATACAAGATCAATTTATTAATATTGGAGAGCCTAACTAGCACTTGAAAAAGTATCTTCTCTCGTTACAACATTCTGCATTCATTGTCCAAAGTGAAATCATTAATAAAAATATTGGATAAGATTCAAAATGAGAAGTTCTATTTGCACTCTGTTTTTCTATAAATATAATCTTTAATATCAAAAATTAAAAATAAATGCTAATAATAAACCCCTTCAAAATCTGGAAGAATGACGTGAGAAAGCAAATGAACAGAAGTGAAATTCAACTGATTATGCGTGAGCTTGCCACCTTAGGTTAGGATAAATTATGTTCTTAATGCCATAAAAAAGTATAAATAAACGACTATATTAAGAATCAGAGTCCTCAAACCAAGTGAAATTTCACTGATCATGCATCGAATCACGCACATATACATACTAAATGCGGTTGCCAAACATCCAACAAAATAACCGCATAATCACAAAACAAAGACACACCCTTTCATTAAGAGAAACATAAAAACAATAACACTTCAGGAACTGTGTTTGCACAATATGAGCAATCCATGTCATAAAAACATAAATAAACAACCAAAGCAAGTTCCCTTTATCTCATCCGACTGTGGTTACCAGCAGGGCTAGGATTCTAATTTGCTTCACCAGCTGTGCCTTGACAGCCACCAAGGGACAATCTGACTTTCTTGTAGACATAACTTTGATGATTTTTCTTCCTAAACAAAGAACTTTCCACGCATCTTGGAAACACGATTACCTGGTAAACAACTTAAATATCACTTTGCCAATCTCATAAACCACAAAATCCACATCTTAGCCTGATTCAGTTGTTTTGGCCCCCGAGTAGTAGCAGATACTACATTTGCACGAGTCACTCTTCCACCACATTGACCAGTTCATATTCAACCAATGACAGGTTATTATCCGCTTTAACGATGAAGCTGGCTGGTTCAGTTACTTCCACACGACCCCACTTGTCCACCGCAAGCCTCATTGACCCCTTAAACATGTCAATCTTTGCATTACGTAGAATTATGGTAGCATCAGGTTTCATCATGTCCACTGCATAAAGGCAAGACAAAAGTACACTCAACTAAACTAAGCAAAAACTTGACCTCAAAAAATTAAGACACAAAACACATCCTGTTTTGCAGTTTAACTGTTTTCACTAATAATATTCTATTTAAAACATGGAAGCAAATCTAGATTCTGTTGTCCACAGAACAAAACGAGTTTTGAAGTAAAACTCAATGTAAAATATATAAGATTCAAGAAGTAGGACATAATATCACCAAGCCAACCACCACCTCATAAATATGTAGAAGGAAAGTAATTGGTGCAACAAGTATCAATGATAAACATGTTGTACAAATTGTGCATTTAAATAAGAAAATAACTAGATTCATATTTAATTAAATTGATGTACAAAATAAGAAATCATGAGACTAAATCATACGACTTAATGAACATAAATACAAATAACAAAAATAAGGAAAAGAAAGCAAACCGAAACCTATGTGATACCACAGTCTCCTTAAACAGATTTGCCGCCTCACTATGGGTGTTGGATGTATGTTGGCATCTGTCTCTAAGGATACGATGATTAGAACCCGCTAACACAGAACCACCTTCTATTTAGCTCCGGCGAACTAACAATGGTAGCACTCTCTCACACAGGAAGAATATTACAGGAGCAAACTGACTATAATATGAGAGCAAAGGAATTTCTATACTTCAGCCAAAGAGGATGGTCTTCTTTTATACATAATGGGAAAAAGAAAAGAAGAGAACTTAGGCTCTATTTGGTAGAACTTTTGAAGTTTAATTCTACTTCTTAATTTGAGTGTGTTGTTTGGTTACAACTCTAGAAAATTAATTCCACACCCACTTTTCAATATTATATGTCACATTACTCAATTCAAACTCTTTTTACAACTCATAACCAAACAAATTTTCTACACTCAAATCATAATTCTAAAACTCTACCAAACGCAACCTTAGTTTTTTTTTTTTTTTTTGTAATTATATTCACAATGTTGAGCATGCCCTTATATAGGCATCTATGGCAAGACATATGGCAAGGCCATGTGTTACCTCATGGCTTCCAAAACCATGTTGTCTCATGGTCAGGCTATGTCTGTCTCATGGTCTAAGACACTATTAAGGTAAGGCCAAGTGTCCCTCATGGTTTAAGACACTATTAAAGTCATGTGTTCCTCATGGTTAGGCCATGTGTTCTCATGGTTAGAGCATCTCCAATGGTTGTTGCTATATTGGGGTTGCTATTGCTATAATTTGACAATGAATAGTGTTATTTTGCCAAATTATAGCAATGGTGCTCCAATGGTCATTTGCTATTTTTGACAAATCTCAACCAACTTTCCCTCCAAGTTTGTAAGTGTTGTTTGGATATAGATTTTTTGTGATTTTATTTTTATTTATTTTTTGTCTTTTGTGACAATTTTTTTTACCTGTTTGTTAAAAAAATTATATATTTATATTATTTCCAACTAGACAAATAGAAAAAATTTAAAAAAAATGAAAAATTGGGAAAAAATATATACATATTATTAATTCACCCCACCAAAAAACATATCACTACATATTTAATAAATTTTTTTAACTACACATAAAAAATAATTTTTCACAATTACCCACCAACAACCATCCATTATTAACTCAGCATTCATTCACTCACATCCACCCACCCAACAACCATCCATTATTCATCTACGCACCCAACAACTTGAGCTAAACATCCCCGAAATTTGTTAGAACATTTCATGATTATACCCCATCGAGATTGAATAGACACTTGTGTTCTGGACTAATCATTCTGAAGCAGGCAAAAATTTTCGTAAATTTTCCCCCAAAAGTGAGCATACGATTGCGAATTGCCAACAATTGGGTCTTCCGAAATGTGACACCAAGATTTACAAATTGCCATATCTTCTTCAATGGTGAATGATTTTCCTCTCTTTGTTTTTGATGAACCTTCCATAGTGATTGGATGAAAAAACTAAAAAGAAAATAATTTAAGAGGTTTGTTGTGAAATCAGATTCAAAGAAGAGAGGAGAAAAGAAAAATTAAATGTAAATATTTGTGTGAAATAAAAATGGCATGGAAGGTTTCAATTTATAGAAATTAAATATATTACTGTTTGGCAAATAGCCATTTAAAGAGCCGTTGTAAAAAATAATTTCATTTTTTTTTTTTTTTTTTGATAAGTAAAATATTTTCATATCCAATGAAATGACATTATTGATAAAAAGAGCATGTAAAATCAAGGGTCACTTTCATCAGGTGTAGTTACATGAAGACATCATCACTACAGTGTAGCTGGATTTGCATTCCTTATCTCACTCTGTCCTCTCCTCCATGGCCGAAATCAAACAGAGCACAAACCAAACAGAGCACAAGATCGAAACCCGATCTCCCCTTCTCCTCCAAGATCGGAACCCCTTCTCCTCCATGATCTCCTCCATGATCGGACCCGATCTCTCCCTTCTCCTCCAGGATCAAAACCCCCTCTCTCTGGTTTGACTTGTCTCACTCCGATCTGTGTACTCTCCGTCTCTGGTACGATCTTCATCTATATACATATATGTTTTGATCTGTCTGCATATATATATATAGGTTTTGATCTGTCTTGATCTCCATCAAAAAAATCTGTCTTCATGTGTTTTGATCTCCATCAAAAATATATGTCTTCATATATATATATATATTATATATGTTTTGGGTTTGATTTTGATCATATATATATATATATATACGATCTGTCTTCATGGGTTTGATCATATATATATATACACTATCTGTCTTCATGTGTTTTGTCAATTTCATTCTGAAATTTGCTTGATTGTGAAAATTGGGTTTGATTTTGGTAAATAGCTTCCCTACTGGATTAATTCTGTTGTTTTCTCAACCGAATTTGGTGCCAAATTCCTTTTGATTTTTGCTGATCTGGCAAGGTTGGCATCTGCCATCTTTGGCAAGTGAAATAGCAGACCGTTGGAAACTCATTTTTGCCATTCCCATCATTTTTTAGCTTTGGCAACTGATATAGCAGCTCCATTGGAGATGCTCTTAGACCATGGGTAAAATGCTCAATCTCTCATTCAAGAGGCCAACATAATGAAACAATTTTCATTCAATTCTCAATCCAAAAAAACCATTTTTTCCAACAAAACATGCATGATAGCATACATTCAAAATTTAAAGCGAAGATTAAGTAAGTGTTGAGGATGCAAAAACAAGTAAACACCAAATTAACATTAGCAGCAGTAGTAAAGAAGGTCACTAAACAGACCACAATCGTAGAAGAAAGAGACATTTAACCAATCCGAACTTGTACCGTGTTCCATGTTGAAGTTAATTTGAGATATCTTTTGCCTCTAACATTATATGTTTCCAAAAAAATATTTGAGATGTATTTTATGTTGGATTGATAAGGGGAAGAGTGTAAAAGCAAAAATTGCGCCATAAAACTAACACAAATCATAAAGAAGAGAAACACTCGGGAATTTCAGAAAAAATTCCAAAATCTCACTTAATATCCCTAACAGTTCGTTCGGAACAAATGATTTGGTGAGAAATGATAAAATAAAGAGAAAGAGAACTCTTGTCATCCATCAGTAAAGAAAAGTGGCCTCCAAAGCATAATTGCTAAAGCAACAGCTAGGAAAGAAAAAAGGAACGACAGGGTGAGTACAGAAAACAGATATCAAAAGAAGACCTTACCGCTCATGGTTCCTGAACCATGATTTTGCAGATCATTGAGAGAGAGCAATAAGAAACAAAAACAAAAAACTAGAATAAAAGAGATTTGCATGCAATAGATTTATTAAACCAGCCCACCAAGAACAATAATCAAATCACCGGAAGGAACATTACCTTGGTCATTCCTTGCAGTAAACACGATTGTCCCAGTTTCATCTCCAACCAAGCACTCAGCAATCCGCATTTGACGTACTTGGGGACCATCTGGGCGGCCCTTCTGCAATACCATATTCGAACTAACAACCTTCACAATGAGATTGTGTCCACTGGTGCCAGGGCGCAGCTGATCAACCTTAGTGAACACTGGTTTCCTCATGGATGATTTTGTTTCAGCCATTTCTAACAAACTCTGCAATATCAAATACACAAATTAAGAGGCCAACCCTATAAAAGTAGTAAAAAATTGAATCCCTCATTCCCAAAGTGTGCATGAGAAACTATTCAAAGCCACAACGTGCACAATAGAGAAACCTTTTGGAAATATATATATAAATCAAAACAACGGTCATCAAGGACAGATAATTGAAAATTATGAAAACCAATATACCCCATTTTCACAGCCGATGGTGTGGTATTTGATCTTTATAAATAACGTAATCTAATGCTCTATTTGATTTACCGGAATCATATGGAATAAAATAGAATGATCATTTCTTAGACTCCACTATGGAATGCTGATTCCAGTACAATGGTGAATGATGATTCCGTTTGTAATGTATTTTTCATTATTTTTTTAATCTAACCAAACATGAGAATAAATATTTTGATGGAATAATCATTCCATTCCAATGAACCAAACACTACGTAATTGTATAGTATATTTTATAACGAACACCATAAACCCATTGAAAATTGCAATTTATAAAGAAAATTGCACAAATATAACAAAAAGCATAATTTATCAAATATATATATATATATATATAACAAAAATAGAATATTCTAATTTTCAGGAAAGATTCTATACATGGCCCAAAGGAGATGCAGCAAAAGCTATATTCACCCTGTTTGAAGCAGCTAGATTATAGCTTCTTTTTTTTCTTTTTCTTTTCTTGTGTGTGAATTTGCTCCAGAGTGTTTGGTTGGTGCAGTTCAGTTATACCTTATGAAGCAAATATTACTTAAATAAGTTGACTGAAAAGTTGATTATCTTGAAACTAGGAAATGTGTGATTTTAGCTTCAGCTTATCAACTTTCAGCTTCAGAAGAGTTGATCAAAACTTGTTGCCAAATTATTGTTCTTCAAATACAAAGACATCATGATACATACACATGGACAATTATAAAATTCATCGTGAAAAACAGGGTGCACAAAACTCGATTATCTTGCACATATAATGAACAAGAAAATTAAAAATTAAAAAACACAGATTACTTCCTCAGTAAGATAAACATAAAAATTAATTCGCACCGATTGATCAAAAAAAAACAACAGAATTCTTATATCATAATTCAATCAATTCACATTAGAGATATACCCAGAAAATTAAAACAAAAGTCAGTGAAAATCCAATAAAATAAAAAAATAGCGAAATTATCGAATAAAAACCCTAATATTTTCAGATCGGATATAGGAAACTTTTGAAGTGATCAGATTTAAGTTGATTACCTTTTGATGGTATCAATCGAAGAAGCGGAAGAGGAAGGAAGAGAGAGTTGAGTTGTTGAGAGTTTGGGAGAGACCGATCTGCTTTTCCTTTCCACACTGTTGCGTTGTTGTTTGTTGTATGTATGTATGTTGGTACTAGGTAGAGTCCGTCGATACCGCCTTTTGAACGAAAAGGTTATTGCATTTTAGACCGTCGATCTTCCACTTTTTAAGTACAGATCTTTACCCTACACGTTTTAAGTGACCGGACGCCAAACGCGTTTATTAGTCGTGAGTGACTCGTGACTCGTGACTTTATAAAAGGAGAAATATCCGTCTTTTTTGAAAGGGATCGGAGGGTTTGGGGAGGGTTTGTTTCTTGAATTTTTTATTTTTTAATTATTTTAATTTGGGGTTAAAATAGTATTGTTTGAGATGAGTGTTTTTAATTTTTATAAGAGAAAAAAATATAATTATTATGGTTTAAATATGATAATTTTTAACTTGAGACTAACTTATTTTGTCTTTTTGTGATTAAAATATTCCCAACATCTTCCAAGCTCACATATCAAACGAGTAGTGAGTTAAAATAACTTATTAAAATATAAAATAAATTAAAATAATTAATAAGATAAAGCATCATATTTAATTTATAATTATTTTATTTTTTTATCAAAATTCTCAAATTAATTACCAAAAATTAAGGGTAAATTACAAATAGACCACCTGAGATTTGATTAAAATACGACTCGTCCCTGTTATTCTAAAAATTACATTCCACCTCCTGAAATTTTTAATTTCATAACAAATCGTCATTTTTATTAATAAATCATCAGGTCAATTAATAGGTTTTAATGATATTAAAAATATGTTTCAATTAATAATTTAGGTAATTTTATTATTTTATATGAGAGTAATTATAAATTTTATTTTTTAATTAATTTTGTTAAATAAAATAGTCTAATAAGGGGTATTATAATTTTTCAAACTACAAGGGATAATCTGTATTTTAAGAAAACTTTAGGAGGTGTATTTAATTTATCCAAAAATTAACTACCTTGCTAAACACAATTATTTTAGACAAGTTAAAATAGTCAAAAAGTCAAATAACTAATTAAAATAGTCAACTTCCTAAACAAGACCATAAGGTAGAGTCAAAAAAATAATTTTAAATACATGATAACTTTTATAAAATTATTTTGTAATGTTGTACACTTTTATACTTAATATGTAAATATTTTTTAAAAATTACAATGAAATGGAATTTTCTTTTTATAAAGTGGTATTTGGATTTTTTATTTATTTTAAAAATATTATTTTCAACCATGATTTTTACTCTTTTTTTTCTCGTGTATTCAAATAATTAAATATCAATTTTTTTTATAAATATGATTTGTAGATATAAAATATATGAGACTTTTTTTAAGATCCCTAGTATTAAAATTTTATAACATAAAGGACACTCAATATTTTCATAATGTCTAAGGTTCTTCAACATCAATCCAGAGAAAATTGAACATCAAGAGAAAATTTCACCCTAGAGAAAATTGAACACCTAGAAAAAATTTCAATTCAGAGAAAATTGAACAACCAAATAAAATTTTAATTCAGAAAAAATTGAACAACTAGAGAAAGTGTCATTTTCAATTGTAACAGCCCCCTCCTTGAGAAGCATTGACATCTTTGCCTCTCGATGGCCCTGGAATGCCACCATATCCGACTTTTATCCCATAAGATTGCAAAACAAAACAAATAACCAGAAGGTCCATTATCCTAATCCAAAGTGGATTCATGACAAGTTTTCGTCTTTCCTATTCAACATCACCCAATCACATACTAAACCTAATATTATATATATGTATAGAAAGAGAGAGAGAGAGAGAGAGAGATTGAGAGATTCACTGTGAATTCGGCGACAGAGAATTTCTTGCGCTTCATCTTCCAAGCAAGCCTAAGACAACAGATCGCAAAAAGCTTTATGTTCTTGTTCGGATTTCCTTCTATCGCCATTAGTCTTCCACAATCTCATATCTGAGATTTCTTGCACTGTCGTCAACACCAGTGACACACCCCCTTTGTCTCCAAAACCTTCAATCTACGCACCATTGACGTAGATATACGTAGCTTTAGCGTCTTAAAGACCTGAGATCGCTGCCTAGAAGAAAAGAGAGATAGAGAGAGAGAGAGATCTGAGATTTCTTACGTAGGCGTTATTACTAGTGACACACCGCCTCCATTTATGAAAACCTTCGATCTATGCACCTCCGATGTAGATATACGCAGCTCCAGTGTCGCGAAGTTAAGAGAAGGAATAATCGGAGATAAGAAAGAAGAAGTGGTGCCAACAACAATGTTGATAGAGGAGAAATATCGATCTGTCAAATTTCTCTGTGACATGTGAATATGGGGACGAGGGACTTTAGACATTATAAAATAATATTATGGATCTCTTACATTACTAAAAATGTGAAAGGGACCTTAGACTAATTTTTTCTAAAATATAACTTACTTAAAAGTAATTATTTTTTCATTGTATATGTGAGTGAAAAATAATAAATTTTATATGATTCATGTATCATCTTTTACTTAGAAGTAATTCTTTTTTCATTGTATATTTTGGGAAGTATGTTGATAGCTAAAAGTCAGATTTTAATTCATTTTTGGTCATATCATCTCTCACATTTTTTATATATATTTTTAAAAAAAAAAACAAAAGAAACAAAAAATCAACTTTTAATCATCTTCCCAAAATAAACCTTTGTGTAAGTGAAAAATAATATTTTTTTTTTTTGATTCAAAAAAAAAATAATAATAAATTTCATATGATCATGTCTCGTCCTTTTTCTTCTTCTTTTTTTAATAGCAAGTTTACATAATTGTATCATTTATTTATTTTTTTTGTGGTTATGCCTTTGGAATTTATCTTTTTTTAATTCTACAATTATTAATACACCTACAGTATGTTTTGGCAACACATTAAAAAAAAGTCAAATGTCAACTTTTAATCCATTTTTAGGGTGTTTGGTGTAGATTATAGGGGATGATTATAGTTTATTTTAATTTGGGAAGTTATGCCAAACTGTTTAGTGCAGCTTCTGCTTACAATTTTTTAGGCAGAAATAACTTAAATAAGTTAAAAAACCTGATTATTTAGAAGCCGGGAAAGAAATGCTTTTTATTTCTGCTTTCTGATTATCAGCTTTTAGCTTACAATAAGTTGAACCAAACAACACATTGAGTCACATCACCTCTCACATGAAACAATGAACAAAGTCAAAAATAAAAGGACATTGATTTAGACCCCCTTAAAACACCCACCCCCACAACCCCCTCACACACATGGAGGTTGGGGATTGGGTGAGAAGAAAAAAAAAAAAAAAAAAAAAAAGTTGACCAATCAAAATTAAAGGAGATCAAGGGGGTGACCCCCAAAGGGGGTCTCAACCTTTATTCCAAAATAAAAATATCAATTTTTAACCATCTTTCCAAAACACCTTACAAGGAAGAGCAACAAATTTAGTGTAATTGTCAAATTAATTTTAAGTTGCCTTTAGTATTGAAGGCATTTTTATTTTTTTCACAACTATTTTCATATATTTTGTAAAAACAAAAGAAAAATATGTTTCGATATAAACAAATATTTTGAAATTTAAAAAATAAAATAAAACTATATTTATTCAATAAATTGCCGAATAAAGATGAAGTGGACAATGCAAGTTTTGAATGAGGGAATAGCTGAAAATGGTAAAAGAGTTGTAGTAGTAAAGCATTTACAAGTAAACATGGAATTATCTCATTCTACCGAATAAATGTGCATCCCTGTCACAAAATAATAAATGCAAAAAATACATCACAAACGAATCCCCTGCTTTCAACATTTTGTTTGGTAGTAACTTCAAAGTTATTTAAAAACGATTTTGTTAACGAATGTTATAAAAAATAAATAACTCATTAACAAACCCGAATGCAAATGTTCTTTATATGCTCATCCAAGGTTCAAACTTCTATCAGCACAAGTGACACCCATAACCACACCATGCTTAGGATAAAACAAAAAACATTCACATACAATACAACGGTAAAGAAGTTTATGAGATTCAGCAAATAACTACGGACCATACACTCTAGTCCTAATTACATTATTTCATACGCTTTAAACTTTTATTATTGCTCAGAGAGCAGAGAACAAACTCAAACTTGCGAACTCACGTAAATCTAGGCTTAACGGTACTGGCTTGCCAATTCCCCCTCCCTAACAATGTAATTCTGTGGAGGGAACTCTTCTCCCTTGAAGTACCTATCCAACATGTCCTTAGTTCCTGCGGCATATCGCAACTGCACACCATTTCCATTTAATATTGAGTTACAAGAATGACATAGAATGGAAAATAAGCAATAACAATTTATTTAGGAAAAAAATAAAAATGAGAGAAAGAAACAGAGATGTTGGGAGGCTTTTTGACAACTTTCAATACCTGTCCATCGATTGTAGTGCCAGAAATATGAGGAGTCATGGCATGGTTTGGCATGTATCGCCATGGATGGTCCTTTGGAGCTGGTTGTGGATTCCAAACATCCCCACTGTAACCTAATCACCAGAAAACAAAATTAAACACGCTAATCAAAGGGTGGACAGTGACACATACTGTATCTTGCTCTTGTTGAGCTCAACAGAGTTGATTGTTTTACTTTTTTAATATTTAATTTCACCATTGAGACCATCAATTTAAGGTGCTATCCAAAATCTCCAATAAAAAGACAAAATAGAAAGAAAAGGATGACATAGAACACTTATTGCATCGTCAAAGTTGTCTTGGAACGATTAATGTCAACAATCATTAAACCAAATGCCAAATTGTTAACACATGGAATGTTTAGATGAAACGTCCATATCAAGAAACTCAAAAAATTCAGATACCTGCAATATGTCCACTAGAACAGCCATCAACAACAGCTTGTGTATCCATGATTGCTCCTCTAGCATTGTTAACGATTAGAACTCCCTTCTTCAATTTGGCAATCCTATCTTTGTTGAACATCCCTCTGAATCGCAATAACAGAACTCTCGTGAGTTTGACTCATAACTAAAAATGACTGACAATATCATTAATTATCATTTTAACTAAACTTACTGTCTATATTTTACCTATTGGTAGTTAAGATGATGTAAAAATTGAAAGCTTTAGTGGTGCCAATTCATAGAGAATTTAGGCCAAATATGAGTAAGAATCCTTACTTTGTTTTTTCAGTCAGAGGCATGTTGATGACAACTATGTCACATTTTGGAAGCATCACATCAAGATCCTCCTCAAACTTCGCACCTATTGCATTCTCCAACTCTGCGTCCATCTTGAGCCGATCGTGATAGAGAAGGTTACAGTTAAAAGGCTTCAACCTTTGGAGTAAAAGCTTGCCAATACGCCCAGCACCAACAGTTCCGACAGTCTTTCCTTCAAGATCATAAGCTCTATGTGCAATAGCTGCAACATTCCAATCCCCATTGATAACCTGATGGTATCCAGGCAAGAAATTCCTAACGAGAATGAGAATTCTCATGAGCTCATCTTCTGCCACTGAGACTACATTGCTTCCAGTGACCTCTGCAACTGTTAATCCAGCAGCAGCTGCAGCCTGCAGATCAACATGATCAGAGCCAATTCCAGCTGTGAGCACCAGTTGTAAATTTTTAGCCTTCTTGATCCTTTCCGCTGTAACATAGGCCGGATGGAATGGCGTAGTTATGAGGACATGCAGATCAGGAATATGTTTCTCGAGTTCTGCAATGAGGACAAGTAGTTAAGTTTTGATTAATGTCTTAGAAATTGATTACTCAATGACAGAAAGTGCTTGTTACAAAGCTTCAGCAGAAGCATCATGTAAATTATATTATTTAAGGTGCACAATAACATAGTGCCCTTGTATCTTGATCATATAACCAGTGCCAACTTCGTATCTAACAACATATATTCAGAAAATATTTTTAATGTCTACATACATACCACAATTTGGTCCTTCTTTGTCATCGGTGACAATGTATTGGTGGCCTTGTGATTCCAACCAGTCACGTATGCCCAATGCTCTCTCCGCACAGCCCACAAAATTCGGATTCATTTCAGCGTATTCATTTGCCTTGTAGAACACTCCAACTATCTTTTTGCTTCCAGGTGAAGCCTGTTTACAATGACGGACAGAAATATGACAATGATAACCATATATAAAAATTGCAATTATTCATTTAAGAAGAGCTCTCATATCAAATCCGTAAGGCAAACACCTCGTCAATACTTATGCTAGCTTTTCTAGGTGCCATACACCTGATGCTTAGAAAATATCAGAAAAATGCAAATTATTGACAAATTAACATATAGCAGCTGATAGCATGGAAACTTTTGTAACTAGGTTCAAAGATGGGAGATGAGTATGCTATGGTATCTTCGTTGTGACATACATAGATCATCAGATGGTTCAAGATGAGAAAGCACACCAGGTATAAAATATCCGTAGTGACGAATGATCCAACTATTTAAGAACTCCCTTGCTAATCAAATTCAGTAATAAAGCCCTCGTTTTGCATAAGCTAAACGGGGTTTTTTTGGCTAAAATAGTCATAAAAAAAAAAGAGAAGCTTTTTAGCCCAACAGACAAAATGTCACATTTAAACCATAATCATTTTATTTTTTCTCTCATAAAAGTAAAAAAAATCAAAAAAACCTATCCCAAACGAGACTTTTTAACCCAGACTTAAAATAGTTAAAAAGCCAACTACATTCCAAACCAATCTAACAAGTATAGGTACGCTGGACAACATTTGAAGACATGCTAACTAAGGCCTCGTTTGGGAACCCTCATTTTAAGTCAAAAAGTCAAAAAGTTACTAAATTAGCCCAAAAACCAATACCAAAAAGTCAAAGATTCTCTTTTCTCTCTACTTTTTGCACATCTTTTCGTAAAAAACCACAAAGTCATCCCAAACATATTAGTTTTTTTTAACTCATATTTTAGCCAAATAACCAAAAAATTACTAAATTAGCATGTTCCCAAACGAGGCCTTAGATGTTATGTTTAAATGACTTAGTTGTTTTTTGAACATGTCGCGGAGGGAGGGGGATGAAACCGGCTAATAAGTAAAGAATTTGATCAAAATCCCATGAATACCCAACCCTCAACCCCTTTTTCCCGTCAATTTCATAAACCCTCAACACAATTTACACAGGGAAAACTTGTAATGCTAATGTGATTAAATTTGAATACTACATTTTAAATAGAAGAAAGTGTTATAGTAATTAAATTTTTGTACTAATTTTCACTGTTTCTTGTGTATGTCAGTGTATTCAATTGAGTGGTGATGCAAAATTAGTACTTAAATTTTGTCAATTTAACATTAATTAGAGACAATACTAACTAACAAGAAGAATTAGGTGCCCATAATCCGATTATAGGATCGTAAATAACACCAGGTAGTGTGAGAGGAATCAGATAATGTCATCGAATTCTGTGCACGTAACAAGATAACAACAAAACATGAGATGATTTGGGCTTGCCATGCCCATGAGTTCGGTGATCGTCTACCCGGCCCAACCCAAGCGTAAGCCCAGGAAGCTAATAATTGTCCGTGACGACAACTCACGGTCCACCCAACCGCAACGGCCGACACGCAAGCACTGTCGCACATGCTACTGTGATGTAGCTAAAGTCGTCGTCATCGTCATCATCATCATCATCAACAGCTTCATGCATGTAAGATGAGATATGAACCATATCTACAGACATAATTTCAAATCGACGGTAGATAAAGAGAATCTCCATGATGTCGATGACGATGATAAATCAGAAACAATCAAGTAAAATCAAAGCACTTGAATCGAAAAACAGACTCAATTTTAACATATCACTAGTAGTAATTAACCCAGTAAAATCAGTAATTAAATTGGAAAAAACAGATATAAGAGTGAATGCTTACATGGAGGTCTCTGGTTAGGATTGAGGAAGAAATTGAACTCCCAGAGGAAGCAAAAGCACGAACTGCGGTCGAGGCAACACGCTTCATCATCGCCATCTCGGAATCGGAATCGGAATTGGTAAAGCTCTCGACAGGCGACGAAATCGATAGAGAAAGAGATGGAGATACAGAAACTTCCAAAGCTCTATTTACTGGTTGTATGATATTATCCGTATTCACTTATAACTGAGACGCTTTGCTCGGTACCTATTTATAGGCGAACCAGGATAAGTTCCGCCTTCACCTTTTGGCCTTTGTCCTAATAACGGACACTGTTTTGGCGTTCAGTTTTCGGAATTTAGGCTCTGTTTGGTTCTCAAAACACAATTTTTTCCTTATTTTTCACGCTTCACGTTTGTTTAGTAGTTTCAAATCATAATTCCACACTTATTTTTAAAAAGTTGGTTAAAGGCGGAAAAATTTAAACTAACCGGTCGTCTCACCGGTCGTCCCGCCGGTTGACTTGCCGGATGACCGGATCAATGCAATTATAATTTTTTTTTTATAATTGACATATGTTAATTTTTATATATTTGAAAAAAATATTTTCCAAATTTTTTAATTTTTTTATATGCTTTAATATAATTTTGAGTTGTATATTTGGTTATGAGTTGTAAATTTTTGTATCAAATATCATATGTCACATCAAAAAATCTCCACTCAATTCAAAACTCTCTTCAATACTCCTTTCAAAACTCTTTCATCAAATAAATTTTTCACACTCAAATCATAATTCCAAAACTAACAAAGTCAAAATACAACTCATACTCTCAAATCATATTTACAAAGCTCTATCAAATGCAACCTTAATTTTTTGAAAGTTGAATTTTTTATTTTGTCATATTTTTTTTAGTGAATATTTTTAAATTTTAAATATATATTTTTTACTTTTTTAGATGTGCCTTAGATGTATCTAAATAGCAAATTATTTATAAAAAAAATATTTTAAGAATTTAATATATACACAAAAATATGAAATGAATTTTTAAATTTTTAAATTTTTTTGTATTTAGTGAATTTTCTAAATATTTTTTTTACAAATATTATACTTTCTAAGTGTATTTTATGTTAGGTGTGTCTATAAATTAAAAAAAAATATTTAAAATATTAAAAAAATTCAGTGAAAAAAAAGAAGAAAAAAGAAAGTAAAACACAAAATTTTCTGAAAAGTACATTTTGAAAACTAAAATAAACAGAGTGTATGGTTGTTGGGGAGATTTGGGGAGGGCGAGGAGAAAAGGTATATGGAAATAATTGGTGAAATATAAGTGTATTTCATTTATTTTTATTTTTATATTTTCAAATTTTTGTTTTAAATGTTTTAACCAAACATTGTCTAAAAGTGTTATAAATTATAAATTAATCACAAATTTGATGTGATCCACTCATGTGATATGAATCTTATATTTATATACGTTTTATATAGTGTGTGTGGTAATTGTATTTAATTTTAGGACAAATTATAAATACAAATATAGCTTACCTTTTATAGTTCGAAAAATTAAATTGTTGTAATTTTTTTATTTTGCATATTTAATTTAAAAAATATTTTTTTAACTATTTTCATATACAATAATAAAATTATTCGAATTATTTATTAAAATAAATTTATAATATCATTAAAAATTATTAATTGACTTAATAATTTATTAATAAATTACCTATTTTTATGAAATTATAAATTTTAAGGGACGGAATGTAATTTTTAGAATCATAAAAACAATTTGTATTTTAACCAAACATGAAGGAGTGTATTTATAATTTATCCTTATTTTTTTGAATTATGCTATATGTATCAATTAATGTACACACTAGTGTATTAACAGATGATGTGACATCATTTGTATGGTTTTGAGTATTTGTAACTTGTTTAATAAATGTGGTCAATAATAATATCATAATACTAATTGGTATATTAATTGGTGCATGTATTACCACCGTATTTTTTTACAAATAGAATAAGTGAAAATTTATTATGTGACCTTCTCCAACTCTAATAAATGATCCTTCTTTTCTATAATTACATTTTATTGTTTTGCTAGGCAAGCCTTATGAGTTAGCATTATTTTACGTGTATAATTCTCAGTAAGTAATTTATTAGACAGACTTATGTAAATAATTTTATTTAAATTATTTAGGTTCGTTTGGAAACTAATTTTTTAAATATTTTTATTTTTATTTGTTATAAATAAATTTACAAAAAAACAAAAAATAAAAAATTGATTTTGTATTAATTTTAAACTTTTTTAACCAATTGCCAAAATGACTTTAATAAACTCATGGCATTGTATCACATCCATCCCCGTAATGAATGTTACGTGTTCGAACCTCATATACAGCATTGGAATGATCCATTTTTTCTATAATTTCACTAAAAATATGTGCACATAATTTATTTTTATACACATTTGAAGTTTTTTTCATTGCTTTCATAATTAATTTATTTATTTATTGCAACTTATTATAATTTTATTTTATTTTTTAAAACCACAACCAACCCTTTTAGGGGCATTTACAGATAATTATACATTTATGACTTATGAACCATTTGGTTCCGGAAGTATTATTATGAACTCATAAGTCTTATTCCATATTAAAATATTCTAAATGAAACATACTCGCATTTGTAAACATAAGATAATAGTGCACATATTAAAATGACGTTTCATTGTCACATTTTGTAAAAATTTAATAAGATAATAATGTACCAATAAAACAAATCCACATTAAAATTCTTATATTAAAAATCTCTCAAATGAAACAAACCCACATTTGAAAACGTAATAAGACAATAATGCACACATTAAAATAACGGCTCATTATTATATTTTAAAAATGATACATTTAATAAAAATTTAATACACAAATGAAACATATGCACATTTTAAAATATCCAAAAAAAATATGATGAAATTACCTCATAGTGTATAATTTTAAATTCAATGAAACTTAATTATCTAAAAAAAAATTATCAAACTTTCCGACAGTCACTTTTCTGAAATGAGACTTCAAAATAAATTTTGTTGTTCAAATTTTTTTTTGTTTTTACATCTCAAATACTATTCATTTGGTTTTGTATTTGTTTTTTCATTAGTATGTCTAGTTTGAGGTGTCCTAAATAAGTGGACTTTTTGTCTTTTTGGACTAAAAAATTGAGGTTGAAAATATGGATGTTTGGGTTAACTTTTTTACTTTTTATGGAAAAATGTGTAATAAAAAATTGTAAAAATTTATTTTTAGAGAAAATTTCAAATTGGGAGTTGTGCAGCCATAATTGTTGACTTTTGGTGAATAGTGTTAACTTTTTAAGTAACTTTTTGACTTTTTGACTTTTTTACAAGTTACCAAACTTGGCATAGCAAACCACAACAAAATACAAACAAATAATCTAAGAAAAAAGTAAATTTAACAAATTAAATGAAACCATCTAGCCAACTATTAATTGTATAAGTAACCAACTAATATAAGGTACTACAACAATTACAACTTTAAAATGAAATTTAAGTCATGAGTTAGTAATTCACAACAACCATGTAAACTTGTAACTCCAAATAAATAAATTAAATTCAAAGTTAATGCACCCAATTAAATAATTTAGATTAATGCACTCAATTAATTCAAATTAATCATGTACACAATTCATAAAAACTCTATAACTCCAAATACATTAAACTAAAATTAATAGGCAAAAGATACAAACCAATAACCATTTAGCAATTATCATATGCAAATAATTCTAAAAACATTAAATTATGTAATCTAGTCTAAAAAATAATAAGCATGTAACAAATTAAAAACTAAAATAGAATTAGCATGTCAAAATTGCAACATCCATAAATTATATTTCATAATCTTAAAATTCATGCAAATCATGGTAGGGGAATGATGAAACATACGCATAAAATAATATCATATTAATACAATTAAGTATGCAAATTATGATAGAGCATTCTAATTAAACTAAGTAATTAGAGAATAACATTGCATAATTTACAATCATTGAAATAGTGAACAATTCCGCAATAGTTCCTAGTAACATTATACAAAGCTAACTTAATTATCTATATAAATCTATTCAATCAATTTCATAGAAAATATATAAATAAATCTGTTTTAAGCTTGTTGTTCAAATTGTGAAATTAAATAAATAAATTTATGAAGAAATCAAAATTATATACCAATAACATATGCTGATACTTACAACTAAATTTCAACAGAAATACACAAAATAATAAAATGATAAAGAAATCAAACCGAAGCCTGCGCGGTAGCAGTTTCCTTAAAACAAATTTCGCCGCCTCACGGGTCGAGTGCTTGAGGAATCCAAAAACCAGCTACGGCAGAAGCACTCTGTGTCTAGCTTAGCGAACAAAAATAGTGGCAGCACTCTCTCACAGAAGGAACTTTCTGGCAAACTGACTTGTAAAATGGAAGTAAAAATTTATATATAGAGACTTGACAGGAGGGTCTCAGTTTATACATGTATAACGGAGAGAGGAAGAGCCGCCGGCCTTTATGGCTGGTCATTAAAGCCCCCATTAACCAGGATCCATAACCCCTTTCCAGAAAGATAAAAAAATTTTGATGCCCAATGGGTTCACACCCTTTAGCCAAGAAAAAGAATTTAAATACCCTTAAAATCTCATTTATGAATCTAACATCATGAGGTAATTTCTTAGCAATTTCTTATTCAATTCTCAATGATTTTTGGCCCACTTAGAGCCAACACAATAGATGGTTGGGACCCACTTTAATATTTAATTAAAGTCACTACACTTTAATATTAAATTAAAGTCACAAAAAAATCATTTTTTCCAACAAATTTTCCCTCAAATGTAAAAAATCTGGTTCACTTATCTCATTTGTGCTAATACCTTTGCGTGTGCACAGGAACTCCGTAGTCCTTAGCCTTTATTTGAGATGTGAGTTGATTTTTTTTATTTTTTTGACAAAAGTCTCGTTTGGGATGAATTTTTAAATTTTTTTTTACTTTTATGAGAAAAAAAATAAAATAATTATGATTTGAATGTAACATCTTATCTTATTAGTTTTTTAACCTATTTTATTTTTTTATGACTATTTTAACTCAAAAAATTTATACCAAACATAGCCTAACATATGCTTTATCTCAGACAAGTAATATTATATAAATAAAAAAATGTATACATCATTTTAGATGTCTTATTTTAA